CTCTGTTAATTAAAAGCCTCATCTCAAGTCTTCTTATTTGGCTTTATTGAAACTTGGGAAATAAAAGGTGCCATACAACTGCTTACTGCAAAGCACTTATTTTACCATAATTAATTGGCACTCGCAACAGAAAGTACAGCATAAAGTGTGGGTTGGTTCAAGGGATTTTACCTGCTTCGAACAGCCTAAATTAATTCAGCGTTTTTTCCTTTCTCACAAGATTACTTCTATTTCATCACTGCTCCAGAAAATCCCTGATTTAGATTTAAAAGTAAGACCAGACCAAATTCTCCCCGGGCACATATTTCCAAATTCACCCTTCTGAAGTTTGTGACCTCAACCTAAACTAGACCCAATGAAAGTTTTGTTGATCATAGACCACCTCTTTGTGAACACAATTCTATATGTGTTAAGGCTGAAAACTGAAAGAACATCAGTGTTTAAGAACATTATTTCACACTCCCAAATGTGAAAAATCTATATATTTGTTAGGAGCAAATGAATACTGCTTCCAAAGGTCATGCTGTTCCTTCTGTTTAGCTGTTTTGTGTATACAACTTAAGTATTTGAATATATCACCCAAGTCTCATTGCATTACATGCATGGCCATTAGGTGTTCCAGTGTTGGACACAGGTTCTTCTCAGTTTCTTATATTTTTATTCATTTGAATTCAAAATGGATATTATCTAAAAAGAAAAACTTACCACACCTAAAGGTCACATATCATATAAAAATGTGAAAAAATACTTTCATTGCCCTTTTGCTATATTTTACACTTACATATATGTGTTAATATGCAAGTATGTGAGTGTGTCCTTAAATCTGTGCAGTAATAGAAATGAATGTCATCATATTTCAAAGCATCTTCTCTGACCCAGCGTCCTCCAGAGGATTGGGCCAATTTTCTGGAAACTCTGAAAGTTCCAAACCAAAGCACCAGGAGGGTAGCAAGTTGGAGAAGGCTATTTACAAGTATCTTTAAAACCAAACATACAATAAACATTGTCATAATTTGCAAGAAACCGGAGAAACCAGAAAATGTTTGTACATTTGAGGCCTTGGAGAGAGCATGGAAGGGTACTGTGAGCAAGGGTCACTGAGTCCTGTGGAATTCATTCTCAGGGAAGTTTATATAGATTGGAACCAACGTGAATTAAATATATGAATAGAAAGTAAGATCTCCTTTATAACAGAATTTCTTGAAATGAATTTGAAAAAAATGACATTGGGGATTCAAATAATGCTTGATGGTGAAAGTAAAAAAATAATGGAAAAAAAGTTGGGGTACATATCAGTTGCCTGGTATTTTCAGCAGCAGAAATCTAGCTGGAAATACACAAAGGAGAGGAACACTAATAATACATAATCCAAGGAGATTTTAAGTGCATCCTAGCGAAGTACGAACATGTTAAGTGTGCAGGTTGTACTAAAGAACAGGTCTGTAGAAATACCATAAAGCTACTAACTTACCAAAATATTTACTGAACACATCTGCTTCTTTGTACTTTAATAAGCCAAGAGCTTCCAAATTTCAAGTTACTTTCACAGCATGGTCCAAAGACTCAGTCCATGCTGAGACCTAACTGCAGTGTTCACTTCCAAAAAGCTGTATTTTTGGCACCTGAAACTAAAGTGAAAATCCAGGCAAACCACTGAAGAATAACTTCTTGCTTTTCAAATTCAGCTGAAACTTACATATGCAAGTAAATTATTGTCAAATTCTCCAATTATCCCATGCTAATTTTTCAATGAGAAACATCACAAGCAAAATGTGGACCCAAATAAATAATGTAGTTTTTTTTAACATTGAGAATAAAAGAGTTTGGTAGTTGGCTATATTGATTTTGGCAGATTTAGCATTTAAAATCTAATTTTTCACTTCCAAATAATAATTATCCTTGCATGTTACAGGATAAGGTATTGATTTTCAAAAACTACCCAATATATTAAATACTTTATCTGCCAGTTAAGTATAGCTCCAAATGATCTTCTAGAAAATGCTCAGTTCTTGGGACATGTATCAGGCCTTCTTAAAATGCTCATTTTTAAAATACAAAGCACCTCTTATATATACTCATCTGTATGTTTACAGTGGT